TACATTTAATCTTATGAATACATTTAAATACACATTTAATCACTAATGAATACACATTTAGTCATAAATGAATAGAAAACACTGTTAAGAGACAAAGAATTTCTAATATGGTATCGGCTTTGGCTTCCTCGGTTAAAGAGATTGATTCGTTGTGGATCTCCGATGGGTCATAGAGGAGTAGTAGTCCAGCGATGATTTTTCTCAAACCGCCTTAATCTTTTGTGTCACCCGACTTCCCTTTTCCATAGCATTCTTTCTATGTGTATATTTTTGTCTGATCAAGCTATTGTATCAGAATAACATCTGTTGTCAAAGTGTTTCCATGGACTACTCGGACTTTAAGATCCGGATGTTTCATGACAAAAAGTTTCCCACCTCCATTCAAAGCTTCATTCTGTAACACCACAACAAATTCGCTCAAAATTTCTGGATGTTGGATAAAGTGTTTTCTTCGTAAATAATGTTTAGGACTTGTGGAAAGCCTCGTTAATTTATTATATCAATATTTGTCCTTTTCCATTAAAATCAACACATATATAACACAAAAATATGTCATTTTCCTCTCAAAAACGTGTTTTGTTCTTATCATTTGATAGAAAACATGTAACATGCATGCTTCTTCCAGTATCATTATATGATTAAAGACATTTCAACTAACCTTGTTCAAGGCAGCGAGGCTAAGGACCTTGACACCAATCCTATCGGCCTTCAATATAGCTTCTTCTATTTGCCTATTTATGCCATCTCTTGCAGAGGGTAAAAAATACTGCAATCATAAAACAACTATATATCAACATATATAATCCAGTTTTAGTTCAATCTGTTACTAGAACAATGAAAACGAACACAATTCTGGCTTAGTTTATGCCGGTTCATAAATTTGTACTCTATATGTGGAAAGAAGTTGCATAGTACCATGAACCCAAATCTTGGCACGACCCAACTCTGAAGTAATCTTCCTCTAAGATGGCAGAAACCGAGCAAGAAAGTTTTTGATTTAGCCCACATGATCAGCATCACCATGAAAGCTACTGGCCAATGCAGGAAGAAGATAATATTTGTCGCGTATGGCAATGAGCTGCACGATCTAAAAACAAATGGAACATGCATTGACGACATGACATCAGCCACATGTGCAAGAAACACAAAGTCTGGTGCTTTTGCCTTCTTGCCTACAAAATATAAGAGAAACGTACATGTATTAAGGAATTGAATTCATGTGTAATCTCGATTGAGTACTCTCGACCTTCAAATGTATTTTTAGGGACCGTAGTTTGCGTATTGATTACGACGTTTAATGTGACTTAATTGTTTGGTGACCCGAATGGATCTTGACCCGACCCTACTTCTAGGAGCACGACCCAATATAGATAATTAGATGGATAAGTGGTTGGGGTAGGACTACAATTTGACTTTTGAGAAAAAATTGATAAATTTTCAAGATTTTTAAGGAGTTGGTGACGTGGCTCCTTTATAACCCGGACTAATAGGTAGGCCGGGTGACAATTGATGACACGACAAGATAAAAATACACAACACATAATGAAATAGGAACAAAATTGAAATTTGAATTCTTGTTCGTGTCGTGTTCGTGTCAAGTTTAAAAAATACGATGTCGTGTCGTGTCGTCTTCGTGTTTAAATTTCACACAAAATTGACACGATTTAACATTTATTTGTCGTGTTATGTATGATTAAATATTAATTAAATAAACTAATTGTTATTTTGTGTTATCTTTGTCGTGTCGTTTTCGTGTTAGACAAAAATACGACACGATGATCCGATTTGTCATCCCTACTAATAGGCGGTGCAAAATACAAAACGAACGTATATTTCATATATAACACATAATAACTATCAAAGCATGAAATGGATTTACGTTTACGTTTTGGATCATTTCTTATATAGGTCCCTTTATAAATTAAAACATTTTTTTTTCAAAATGATGATATTTTAAAAACCCAATATTTATAAATGAATAAGACATGAGTGAAACAAATAATGTAATATAATAAGCCAGACTATGATATTCACTGTTCATAAATGAATAAGGTGTTAGTTAAAAAAAGAGCTTAACGTCTTAAGCCAATTTTACTTATTCATTGCTGAATAGATCAATGAACAAATTCATATGTCTTGTCTTTTGACCCAATAAACAAGCCTGGTGTTCGTAATCTGGTTTGATAGCAGCAAATGGTGTTCGTAATCTGATTGCAGAAAACTATAAAAAAATCGAACTTTAAGGATTAATTCCTTGAACCTAAAATTGATGAGAGAATATACGCTTTTCGGTCATTAATTCTTTCTTTAAAATCAAAATGAAATTGAAATCAATGGAGCCATCGAACTTGAAATTCAAAATTAGTGGGGTTAAGTGAGAAGCGAGCCTCAAATGAAACTCAAACCAAACCTGAAATCGAAATGGCGTTGAGCGATAAGCGTCTAGTTTCATGCTGATGGTCGATGTTGTTTTGTGGCTAAATGATAACAGTAAAGACGAGTGGATGAAAAGTAATAATACCAAAATAAATAGGAAGAATGAGAAGAAAAACATTGATTTGGTTCTTAAAATCAGGTCTTCAAATAAGAAGACAAAATTAAAATCGAAAATTCGATAAAATGAGGGATCACATAAATGAATGATATGTTGCCTAAAATGATTCCAAAAAATTAGGAATTAATTTTGAAATTATAGTTCCTGATTTACATGACCGTTATTAGTATATCTTTGGTTTCAATTTGGGCGGCAAAAAGAATTGTTGATTGCTTAGAAAAATGACACGTAGCAAATTCTTGGTTTATAAGAATGACACCTGCCATTAAATACACTCTTTTATTAGAGTAGGGATATGGTATACGAATCTAATATTCTAATATTCTATTGTTCATAAAATAGAATATGAAATATATTCTAACATTATATGTTTTAGAATATTTCAATGTAAAATATGTTGAAATTATTGGCTTAGAGTATTAGAAGGTATGAGCTGTGAGGCGATGATATTGAATGAGTATTTATTTTTTAATATCCAAATTGATTATCTAAGTCTAAGAAGCTTAGCTAAAAAATAACGCACTATGAGGCGATGATCTGGCTATCTTGAGAAGTTTTTTTGTTTCCATTTGGTTGTTTCTGGTTATAGGTCTATGTGACTATAATTTAGGGGTTTTCAATTATTCTTGAGCTGCTTGTGGACACAGTGCTTAATTAATTATAATAATGTTGAAAGTCAGTTGAGTATGGAAGCGCACCCCAAACCAATCTGTAGGCCGATCAGTCAATTTCAAAATTGATTCCTTATGAAGGTTAGTTGTTTTTTTACTTGGTTTATTGTAATAACACCCTTTAGAAAAGAGTCTTATGTGATTTTTGAAGATTTTATACAAATAAATCATACATATTCTCTTATCTTAGTATATATGATGAAATTAAATACGACCATTTTGATTCAATTTAAACTAGGAAGGTATTTAATTTAGACATATTGTGAAGTTATATTAATATTCTTTCTTCTTTATCTGCAGATTACTCAAGCCTATGGGTTTAATTGAAAGAATTTTATTCGGCTCCATTTTTTAAGGAATGATTATATTTCATATGAACATATATATTCTCTTTTCTACTAAGTTATGTAATTTTTTTTAATAAACAATATGTATAAAAACTTATATTTATTGATTATCCAAGGCATTGAAGATGGAGGCATGTAGAGGATTCGTCAGATAAAGAAACATAGAATTTCTACTCAAAATTATTAAAATACAATGATTTTTTTTATTTAAAGACTACTTGTAAATGGTAAATCACCCATTTGTGATTGCTTAAACATTTTGATGCAGATTGGATCGAAAATAATAGAAATTGAAGGAATTTTATTCAGCTCCCTTTTTAAGGAATGATTATATGTAAAGAGAGAGATACTAGCAAAATAAGCCTATTTCTACTACTTAACAGACTTCAATTCAGCCAAAAAGCTCCAACAGAGTCCCCCAACTGCTTTTCCTGCCTCCACTTTATTTACTCCAGAAAAGACCATATTGCCCCTATGTTGACTTACATCAGATTCTCTCTTCCTATACAACTTCTCTTCCATTTTATTTATAGTTGATTTTAGATGTTATTTTGGGGTTTAAATACCTGGTTTTGTATTTGGTTAATAAGTCATTAATAAATGGTTTGCAATGTTTACTATATCTTTAATTTTAAGTTTTTACCCTTTTGTAATTTTGAGTTTTTATCTTGTGTGTACTAGTTATTATTTAATCGGTTATACTTTTAATTTTGAGTTTTTACCCTTTTGTGGTTTTGAGTTTTTATCTTGTATGTACTATTTAATCGGTTATACTTTATAGTTGCATCTACAGTTTTTTTGTTCTTTTATTCTTTGTTGAAATCTAATATTAAATGCTAACCTTTCTCAATCGGAGAATGCAATTTTAAATTAATATTTGCTAATAAGTGATTTGTTTGTTATCAATGGTTACTTGCTTCTAAAGTTCTAATAATTAGTATTTTGTTAACTATATATATATATATATATATATATATATATATATATATATATATATATATATTAATTTTCATGATATCTTTTATTGTAATATAGATATTTTATACTGTTTATGTTTCATAAAACATTTTGTCCATGATTTATTGTCTATGTTTTTTTTGTTAGTTTTTATTATATTATACAACATAATCATTTTCTCTTTTAATCTAGGCATATAGGACATTGCTCATATCTTCAAAATACAATGCAATTTTATTTAAGTTGATAATTCTACGGATAAAACATATAAGTTTCTAAAAGAAATAACTATTAGCAAATGTATCGTTAATTAAAACATCTATTAACTTTTAAAGTTTTTATACGTTGGTCCCGTGTAGTGCCCGGGTTATAACCTAGTTCTCAAATTAAAGACAACATGATGAGTCAAACATCAAATTGAAACCGAAGGAAAATTTCACTTTCATTGATTAAATTATCTTAATACATTCTTTCCACTCAAAATTAAAAACATATTCTTCATTTTAACATTTCATTTATTGACCGCTAAAAGTATTCATTGCCTTTTATCTTTCATGGATAGCCACATGCCCCATAAGCTGCAATAAAAAACAATATTAGTTTCAATCAAATATGAAAATACATGTTCAATCACAAGTCTTATATTTATGATATTGTTTGATGTACGTAAAAAAATTATGATGACAAAGGAACTTACAAGGATCTGTCACAGCGATAACAGCATAACTTCCATCACATTCGCCATTAGTTCGAAAGTTCATATCAATAGCATAGGATGCATGGTTTCGCACAGTATCAGGGTCAAAGCATGAACCTCCTGGTTGGATATCCCCACAGTTGATTCGTCCACAAAGGTAGTCAAGAACTTCTTGTAACTTTGGTTCTGGAGCTTGGGTTTGAGCCACACACCATGTTTTTCCCTATCCAATTATCATAACAATTAAACTTCCACTAAGATCAACAATTTGATGTAATGTTTGGAATCTACGAATGTACAAATGATAGAGCTTTTCAAGATATCTTACATGTACGTAACTGGAGCACATGATGAAGCAGAAGAAGAAACCAAGAGAGCACAATGAGAAGGTTAGGTTTGCCATTATTTTATAATATGTCTTGTGAATGTTCATTTGATTATATACTGTATACGATTTGTAACGGTTTGAGAACTTTGAGATATGGGAAACATAAGAATATAACATTTGCAATTAATTGAATATATTATATAAATATTTTGTAAGATTATAAAGACAAAGTACAATAAATGAACAATGTATTTAAATGGTTATCCTCTTTATTAAATGAAGGTTTTTTGCCACTTGTTACACTCTCATTCAATTTGTCAAATGTCATTTTGTGATTATTTTGAATTAATTTTTTTTCACATGTCATTTTATGAGTTTTTCTTTTTTATTAATTTCACATAATATTATAATGTAATAATTGCAATAAATGTAGCAATAAATGAATATTAATTTCATTAATAAATTTACCTTTTAAAAAATTCCCATTAAAACAATTCATTATTTTTTAAATTTATTTGTTTAAAATGTTCCATTATAATAATTCATTATTTTTTAAATGTAGCAATAAATTGGATATTAATCTCATTAGTTTCTTATTTTCTTATAATAGTAATTCCCATTAAAACATTTCCATTATAATAGTAATTCATTATTTTTCATATTTTCTTATAAATTCAAAGTTTTCAAATATTATGACCTTTATATATATATATATATATATATATATATATATATATATATATATATATATATATATATATATAATATTAAATTAACCAATTTAATACACAAGTCTCACAACTAGTTTAAATATATTTTATGGTTAGGCCATTAAAAAGACTGCCCACCAGTAGCTTTAATGTGAACGTTCGTCTAAAAAGAAAAAAAAAAATCCTCTTTAATAATGAAGGTTTTTTTTGCCACTTGTCACACTCTTATTCAATTTGCCAAATGTCATTTTGTGGTTATTTTGAATTAATTTTTTTTCCACATATCATTGAGTTTTTCTATTTTATTAAATTTCACATAATATTATAATGTAATAATTGAAATAAATGTAGCAATAAATGAATATTAATTTCATTAATAAACCTACCTTTTAAAAAAGTTTCCATTAAAACAATTCATTGTTTTTTTTAAATTTATTTGTTTAAAAATTTTCATTATAATAATTCATTATTTTTTAAATATAGCAATAAATGGATATTAATCTCATTAGTTTCTTTTATTTATTAAATTATTTTTTTAAATTTAAAAGGAAAAAAAAACATTTCCATTATAATAGCAATTCATTGTTTTTCTTATTTTCTTATAAATTCAAAGTTTTCAAATAGTATGACCTTTATATATATTTTTTAAATTAACTTATTTAATACATGGGTCTCACAATTAGTTTAAATATATTTTATGGTTAGGCCATTAAAAAGACTGCCCACCAGTAGCTTTAATGTGAACGCTCGTCTAAAAAAAAAATAAGTAAAAATCGTAACCGAAGCCACCAGCTCATGACGAGTGAAGCATTGTAGTGCTCGTGTTTCTTATTTAGTGGTAGAATCAAATTACATATTTTAAACAAAACTAATTTTATAAATAGCTATGTTTTATTTTTATATATAAAAAACATTCGATAAAATGTTAATATCTTTGGTAAGTTAATAATTAAAACTGATTTTATAAATAGATATGTTTTATATTTATATATAAAATCTTGGATAAATCTTAATATTTTTGGTAAGTTAATAATTAGAGAAATCTTTAGAAAAATCTCAATATTTTGGGTAAGTTTATGAAAAAGGTACAAATTTTATTTTGTTAACAAAAAAGTCTTGATTACTAGATAAAAAAAATTCAAATCAACCATTTTTTACGGTTAAACTATTTTTTATCTGGTTACCTATGTAAAAGACTCATTATTTAACACGGTTTATGAAAAAAGTCATAAATTTTTATTTTATTTCAACTCTTTTAGCCTTTCGCTAAAAAAATTTGAATTTTTTTAATTGAAATTATGAATAAGAATTAACGTCATTAAGCTCCATAAAACTAAGGATTAACAACTTCTATAACCAATTATATTCCACAAAGCAATGACGTTGGCATCATTTTGAACTCATCATCGTCCATATAATCCATTTTTCATACAAATTTATGTTACAAGTATTATAAGATATTTAATTTTTGTGTTTAACACCTTAGTACAGTCTACCTTAAAGGAGGATAAAGGAAAATCAATTGTTATGTTCATATAAGAAACCGTTGACTGATGATAAACTAATCAGTACAATAGTAACTTATGTGAGACTATATAGATTATATAAAAGAATATGAGTTTTATCCTTAAATCTTAAATATATATGACCAATTCATACATGGATTAATTATTTTATGAACATAAAGAAATTGATCCATGAAGGAATCGTAAAGTAATTGATCCATGTAGGAATTGTTATGTTCATATAGTAATTGATCAATGGCGAAATTGTTCATATATGCTTAAGATTTAAGGATAAAACTCATATTTTTCTTTATAATCCGTACAACCTCACATAACCTACTATTGTATTGATTAGTTTATTACTAGTCAACGGTTTCTAATATGAACATAACAGTTGGTTTCCTTTAACTTAATTTTAGTTAAATTGTACTAAGGCATTCAACACATAATTTGAATATCTTATAATACTTGTAATATAGATTTGTATGGGAAATGGATTATATGGACGATGATGAGTTTAAAATGATGCTAACGTCATTGTTTTATGACAAATAATCGGTTATAGAGATCTTTAATTTTTAGTTATATGGAGCTTAATGAAATTTATAATTATACATAATTTCAAACAAGAAATTTCCAGTTTTTTAGTGAAAGGGTAAAAGAGTTGAAATAAAAGAAATTCACGACTTTTTCATAAACTGTGGCAAATAATGAGACTTTTCTAGATGATTTGAATTTTTTATCCGATAATCAAGATTTTTTTGTTAAAAAAATAAATTTTGGGACTTTTGTATAAACTGACCCAAAATATTGAGACTTTTCTGGAGATTACCTATATATATATATATATATATATATATATATATAGATATATATATATATATATATATATATAAGGAAAAATGAATATATGGCTGTCATGTATGTAATATTAGGTATAGAACCATCTAAATTGACTTCATTTTGATTAAAAAACACAATTTTCTTTCATTGTTAGCTTCTTCCCATTGCTTTTGAAATCATATTATTTTTTATTTTGGAATTCATCCCCAACATCTATGTATTTCGAATGTGTTTTTTATTAGACCTCTAGTAAAAGATTCATAACTTCCTTCGACACCTACCTTATGTATACTTACATTGTTTTTTTTATGGATTATGGGAAGAGGTTTATCGGGTTTTTATTGAACAATTTCAATTTTCACTATAGTTTTCTGTAATAAATTTCAATATACCGAACTACATGTAGTTGGTAAAATATTTTTCTACACGGTTTGTGGTGCAAAAGTAAACTTATAAAACTCCATAAAAATATATACAAAGCCTGACATAAGCTCTAATAGAGGATACACGAAATATAGTAGAGACATTTGATTGAATTTTGTTAATATTATGTAGTTTTTGATGGTTCTATTCCTAATATTATGTACATAACAACCACATATTCCCCATATATATATATATATATATATATATATATATATATATATATATATATATATATATATATATATATATATATATATATGCTTAGGTTATTGTATAGATGTATGATTAAATGTGGGCCAATCAATTTTTTAATCTTAATACAAATTGAATAATATTAAATTAATATAAATAAAATAAAAAACCATCACATTAAATGAAAACGGGTGCATAAGGGTATTTGTCTACATTTCTCATCACCACTAAAATAGGAAACTACCTATTTTGATCTGAACTGACCGCATAATCCCAAGATCATCGCAGAACCCCGGATTCGAGTATCGTTTCTATCGGAACACAAAATTAAAGAATATTTACTAGAATCAACAAAAAAAGCGGTAGATTATGTTCTTGTTTTGTATATAATCATCGATTCTCCAAGAGTTGTTTACTGAAGTTGCATTGTGATATTTCGAAGAAGAAAAATTGGAGTATAATGAGGAGTACAAGGTCGAGTGCTTTCACGATAAAATTTAAGAACACACCAGCAACGGTGTTGAATCTTGATGAAGACGATGATGATTTCGTTTCTCCCCTAGAGGTAATTTTTGTTTTTATTTTTTTTTATTTTTACGGTTGAATCCTTAAAATTATGTTTGATTATTTGAACAATGCAGTATTTATATGTGTTTTTGAAGTTTTATAGAATAAAGTTGATTAAATATATGCAAAAGAGGCGTAATTTTTTTATTAGGGTTTTGTCAAATCGAATATGAAAAATCTGTTAGAATGTTTGAATAATAGGGGATGTGATTGTGGTTTTGTTATGTATTTATAAAGAATATAAAGTTAGTTTTTGTTATGTTTTATGGCTGTGATTTTGGGGGGTACGTTATTTGGTTATGTTAGGGCTTCCATAATTAGTATATGACTTTCAATTCTTTAGGAATAAGTAATCGTAAATATATCGCATTTTGTCGGAATCAAAACATACATATTCTTGTATGTGGTTGAATTATGGATCATTATATTGGAAAATATTACTAAGTAACTGTATTTCTTTGATTCATCAGTTGTTGCCCAAGCTGAGCAGGAGCCTATTAATGTTGCAACTACAAGTGAAAAAAAGGTCAAAAGGAAATATTCTACAAGATCAACACCCGTAAAAGACAAGATCATTTCTCCACCTACAGGTAGTTTTATGTATTTGGTTTCTGATTTATAATACAAATTATTTTAGAATATGTTATAATGTTAATATATGGTATTCTTTAAGAATTAATGTACATTTTATCATTGTACCAGAATGAGTTATATTAATTGTATATTTTACTTACTTATAATATAATGTTGAAAATAATTGTATATTCTGTTAGAATATTTTGAAAATAACTATCTGTTTTTATTTGATGAAGCAGTTGGTGAACAAGGTGAA